TTGCATGAGCGCGCATGCACGCACGTATAAACTGCATATATACACCGATTCGGTTTGGGGGTTTTATGTACTTGCCCGCCGGTGGCGGCGCTATAACTGGGGGGCTTCTCCGATCCAGCTGACAGTACAGAGAGCTCGAGAGCGGTTACTAGCTAGCGGAGCAGCGACCCTGGCCGGCCTGGGCGAGGTTCGGTATAGGTATAGCATACCCGTTGCAATGTAAGCTAGCTAGCTGCAGTCAGACGCCCCCCAGTTATGGCGTCACCTTATGAGGGCGCACTTCCACCAGAAGTCGCCCGAATCGGTGTATAGGGATGCATGCAATCTCTATGGCAAGGAATTTAGCACACGTTATAACCGAGTGCGCGATCAGTGCCGCACTGCATGACGCGACGATTTTAAGTCTACCTATATTCTGACATTTGCGTACAGATACTGAAAATTGTAACTGTGAACTTACGCTATAAGTTAAAAACTTCAAATTGGTTAATAGAAAAGTGATTTCAATTAAGCCATTGAATCCCCAGTCACTTAGAAGCGCGTCGGTAGCTTGGTCGGCCATGATGTGTGTTTTGTTGTGGGTTGGAAAGTAAAAACTATTAAGCTAAATAAATGTAAGTATATAGAGACAAACAAAATGGAGCCTGCAGAAACACGTGTGGTTGCTTTGGTAGTTTAATCCAGACTCAATGTCCATGTGCTTTTACATATGAATCAATCTGTGTAGTCAACAGAAGACCCTTGCATATACTTGCATTCGGTATAGCCACAATCAGGGTGCAACTATTCTACGTACAGTGTTACGCATCTCTCCTGAAAACACAAAGTCATCTAATCAAATGTCTTGTGGCCTGAAATGTTGGACCATATGAGTTCTTCATCAGGCAGCAACTTTCGTTTGAATTTCTTTTGTGTTGGTGGTGTGAGAAAGGTAATAGAGGGCCAAAAAATGCCCCTTTTTGGCTGTTACTCATTTGCACTTCAAAAATGTGTCTTTTTTCATAAGGTGTTACTGTGGAATTACACAAGATTTGCCATATCCTTTCATGCCATTTTATAGTCCTTTTTATCTTCCCTCAGTATTTTTTTACGGCTTGAGAATTGACCCAAGAATTGCGATACAGTGGTTATTTCTGTGAAGAGAGACAAGCGTAACGCTTTTAAAAAAACAGCATAATTTTGCCTCTATATTTCATATATTTTAGCACTATATTAATAGGTAATTGGTTATATTTTCTGAGTAACATGTTGTCCTATCATCAGAAACAAAAAATTAAACAAAGATACAAACGTTACAAAAATATATGCCCACATTCCGATCATAAATTGTGTCCGGAATTTCCTGTAGTGTCCGTAACGGTGTAATTCCTGCTATGTGAAAATGTTTTCAAAGTTCTTATATACTTTGATTTGTGCAACTACCCCGGGGACTAGCTGTGGTATAATAATATTCAGCTAAGCATAACAGTTTTTTTGTTGCAATTTAATGAATGGCATTTGTAGTGTCCGTAACGTATGTAGTGTCCGTAACACAAATGTGTGATGGTGTTAATGGTGTAAAAATACAGCGTGATAACTAAATGCTACTAATTTGTAATTCAAATTTGATTTGATACAGTTGCTCTTCTCAATGAATCAAAAAAATTCTCTTTCCATGGGAGGTTTTCTCCTGGATATGATATTTCGCAAACAAATAAGCTATTTTCCATGAATTTAATTTTAAAGATAAAAAAAAAATTGACTTACAAGTAATTTAATATCTATATTTTATTTCAACAATATCAGTTAGATGTAATAAAGTATGAAATTAAATGCATCATTGTGTTTTAGTTTCAATGTTGAGGGTAGAAAAGAGTAGGAGCCAGTGTTACGGACACTACAGATCTGTGTTACGGACACTACAGGAGGAGTAATATCAAGGCCTGGAAGCCAAACTATACCTCCTTTTCTGGATAACAGTGTTCTAAAATAAATTTTAACAATGTAAAAGCTGTCTATGACATCAAATATGTATGATGCATGAGAAAATACAATATTTTAATCATTTAATTGCCTTCCTACAAAATGTATAAGTCACTACATTGTAGTTTATGTCCACACACACATAAACACTTTGGCACACACCAGTACATGTATGACTAGTATCTGCTGAAGACTATGGAAACATACCTACTTTTGAGGACACCCCCTTTGAGGAGATTTACATATAAATTATGAAATATATCATGGTCTTCGTTTTTGCTCACAATTTCTCTTGATAAAGTGAGCTACCTATTTGATAGAGAGAGAGAAAAAAAATAGACTGAGGTCGCCTTTGACTTCTTTACAGACATTTTTATATACATCTGAGGATTTTATGAATACTGGTTTAATTGCCACCACCAATAACGATCACCGAACATCTGAGGATTATCGAATAAACGTATCGGAAATGGTTATTGCGTACACCATAATTTTGTATATAGATTAATTATCACTGTTTTCCGGCGTACACTGTCTAAGGTTTTACAAGTATACCACTTAGTTGGTTGGATTACTCTCCATAAAGTACACACTGTGGTCTTTTTATGACCCCAATTTTTCCAACGCTATTTTAGCGAGCTCCTAAAAATAGGTTCTAAACATACTGAATATATCCTGCAGCACGGACGATAAAAGGACACAGTGGGAACTTTCTTTTCCAAACATATTGTTTTTTCGGCCTCACTGAACAAATCTTGTAAGTCCCTATGAGTTACTTCTCAAATTAATGAAATACATCATATTTTTGCATTTTCAAGGGTTTCCATGCTAATGTCTAATAAGAGGCTCACCTTAATTATGCTACATGATGTACAGTATTATCCTCTTTTGTCTGTTCTTCCTTATTTTATTGTATTGTTCTTCCTTTTCCTTATTTCTGATTCTTATCCTTTTCTTTATTCTTCTTTTTCTTTTATTAAGTAGTTATCTTTTTATTCTCTTCTTCCTTCTTTCAATCTTTCCTCATGCTTTCCTTCCTTATATCGTTTTTTAATGTCTTCTCTCATCTTCCTTAATTGTCTAAATAGTTATGCTTCTTTCATGTTCTTATGAATAAATTAGGCTTCTTTCAAATTTTTTAAGTGAGCAAAGAAGATGGAGAAGAAAAAAACAACAACACTACAATTGGGCCACCCCTGGAACTACATAGAACAACTTGTGTTGTCTGTTTGTCAGATTTTTCAGCTTCTATTGAAAGGGTGGACTTCCTAAGTCCTATCCAAGAGACTTGGTAATGAGGATTTAAAAAGATACCCTCTGTTGGCCTCAAGATATTATGCAGCAACAACAATGATGGCAGAAAAAAAAGCAAATGGATTACTTATATATTGCATCAAAGAATAGCATGTATATGTATAAAATGTAGTGTCCGTAACAATGGGTAACATCCTATAGGATTTTGTACATAAGTTATTTTGGACAACTTATGATATGAAACGAGCCTTCCTAGCAACTTGATTTGTTTTTATATGTATACAGATGGGACTAAACTTTGTAATTTGTCTCATTTATCAATGTTTGGTTGGCTTTTTAAAAAGTTTCAGGTTTTGAAAAAATGTAATTTATCAGATTTGACCTTGTGTTACCTCTGATGTGTATACTGCGTCTAATTTATGGACTGAAGTGAGTGTGAATTGTTTTATTTTCACAAATGGCCAAGAAATTCCCCAAAGAAGTGCAAAATATTTGAGTGTTAAGAAAAATAATGCTTGAAAATTCCATTTGTGTAGCTTTGTGTAGTGTTCGTAACATCCTATAGGATTTTGTACATAAGTTATTTTGGACAACTTATGATATGAAACGAGCCTTCCTAGCAATTTGATTTCTTTTTATATGTATACAGATGGGACTAAACTTTGTAATTTGTCTCATTTATCAATGTTTGGTTGGCTTTTTAAAAAGTTTCAGGTTTTGAAAAAAAGTAATTTATCAGATTTGACCTTGTGTTACCGCTGATGTGTATACTGCGTCTAATTTATGGACTGAAATGAGTGTGAATTGTTTTATTTTTCACAAATGGCCAAGAAGTTCCCCAAATAAGTGCAAAATATTTGAATGTTAAGGTAAATAATGCTGAAGAATTCCATTTCTGTAGCAATGTGTAGTGTCCGTAACACCTACCACCCCCTGTGGTGTTGATGCTCATAAAATGATAACCAAGATAGTTTCCTCAAGGATATTGCAGGGTATTAACCCCAGGGTATGGATGAACAATTTGGGGTTGATGAAACTGCTCTATTTTGGACCCAAGTGCAAATGGTTTTGCACCCTGATTGTGGCTATACCGATTGTGTGTATGCATCTAATATGAATAACAATGAGCTGTGCCTGAACAGCTGCACTGCATTTCTAAGTGGCATGTTAATTGCAATTGCATGTTAGTTTCAAGGAACCTGTTTCTAAACATAACAATGTGAAATAAAGCTTTTAGCCAGCGCGCACTTTACTGGCACGAGACACATGACGTCATATGTAAACAACACTGTCTAAAAGCTCTCGTATAGTAAATATAGCAGTCATTACATTTTAAACAACGAATGTTTAACAAAATTACTTTCGTTTCGAGCAACATTGTTTACAATTTGTTCAACTGTTGTTTAAGATAGTGTACAACTGTAAGTGAACATCACTTTTTTAAGCAGCATTTTTACTGTGTAGTATGTGAGCGTGTGTGGTGTGTCTGTCTGTCTGTGCGTAAGGTTTTGATCTATAATATTCATTCAGTATGGTTAATTTGAAGACAGTATGTACTGCGTATTAAACTATATTATATACCTCACTTAAGAAATCCAGCCATCTGATTGGTCGAAATTGGAGTCGTGATTTAAGTTCCCGCAACGAAACGAAAAATGCCAAAACCGATGAATAGTCCAAGAGTGAGATCCCTCAAAATGCCGGTAACCGGGATTTTTTTTTTTTTTTTTGCTGCGATACCCATTGGTTTACGTGTTAAAATGTTCTTTGAGCGAGCGCGGACACCATACAGTGCTTTTTTTTTGTCTGCGATTTCCAATTCAACTGATCAAAATTTTTAGTCCTTTTTCCGGCAAAGATTAATAGACAGTGTTTCAGATTTTCCGTGATGTTTGAAGCAATCTCTACTCAATAAAAGGATAAGGTAAGAATTCTTGGTAAATTTTTGTTTCAATTCTGCATATAAAAGACATATCGACTGCTTTAATATTCGAGGTCTGGCTCCCAAAGCAGTCGATATCTCTATAATATTATGTATTTCTGAGGGATGTACAATTTTCTTTACATTTTGATGTTATGTAAATCAATGAAATGTATGATTTCTTTACGTTGTACTGAATGAATGCAATAAAGAATGCTACAAAACAAAAACACAAAAGTTACAATAGAATTTTCAAGTTAAAAGGAACATTTTAAGGGCAAGATTATTCATTGATGCACTTGTAGCTTTTTATAGAACGATGCACCCAAGACGGATGCCATTATGCCATTTAAGTGGCTGCCAACACATTTATATTGGCAATAAATTATTTAGTATCCCGTCCGTAGAGCTAGGAAAGTTGCTCAGCGATTTACTCACACAGAGTTGCCCACAATTTGTGCTCTGTATGAAAAGCAGGTTCTACTGAAGATTCATAAAATAGTGCAAGATTCTTCTCATCCACTACATGAGCTTTTGAAGTTTAACCGTTCTGGTATAAATATGTCTAACAGGGCCTAAAACAATAAGATATAGATTCAGACAATCTTTCGTTCCAAATGCCATAAACATTTTCAACAATTCTGTGAAATGATGATTTTCTAATTGTGTGTATGTATGAGTGCGTTGGGTGCATGCATGAAGCCAGGTCATAGTCTTTTCTCCTTTCCTATCTTCTCTCACTTCACCTGAAGCGTTGTTTTGGGTATGCATCTGTTCCATTCTACCACTTTTTTCTTATTTATTTCCTTATTTATCTCCTTCTTCTATCTCTACTGTAAAGTCATGTACCTGACTTCATGCATGTCCGCACAAATACATTCATACATGTAATTAGTATGTTATGCTCTGATCACAACTTTATTGCATGTCTTGTCATGTAAGCAAGACCACTTTCATGATCATAACTATTTGTGTCTTTTGCCATGCTCTTTTTAATATTTCAAATGTTAGAATTAAGTGCAATAATGTAACCTATAAAATTAAATGTTTTCAATTCAACAAATGTTTATATTTGAGAAGCGGTGCATTTATTTATTTAAAGGAAATAACTGTCTTTTTTTTTATAGTGTTTAAATGCCATTCACTCTGTCCACAATAAATTGATGCGAAACAGTATTTTTTTAATTTTGTTTTTCTTCAGTTGATGAATAATGTAGTTTGAGTCACTGGCGTACTGGTGGGGGGGCTTGGGGGGCGCCAGCCCCCCCCCCCAATAAAATTAAACCATGACTTTTTTTCAATTCCATACAAGTGATTTATAAATCGGGATTTCACATGATTTTCAACAAAAATATGCGCGTTTCTCCATTTCTGTTGCAAACTGACAAATTCCCCAAAATCCAGGAAGAGCATTTTTTTTTTTATCAGACACTAATGGGCCTTAGTGGCCATTAACAGTGACACTATAGTAGATAATTCCTTTCCAGAAGCTACAGCGACAAACACTGCCGGGAGATAACATGCTACCCACTACTCGGGCTGTGCATGCACATATTTGCGAACGAACGTACACGAACATCATGTAACACTGCCCGTATACCATTAAAGGGCTTATAGTGGGGTATTGATTTTTTCCATCAAAATTGAGATTGTTATCTTAAAAGGATCCATGGATTCTAAGCTTTAATAAAGAAATTGCGGGGTTTGGGGTAGCTATTAAATGGACAAATTCAGGATTTCGTTATCAATGTTGTCAATTTTTTGGGCCGAAAGTGATCATTTTCTGGCTAAGATTGGAGATTGTACTTTTCATAAATAGTTCCCCCCCCCCCGACAGCAAAAAAGCTTCCGCTTCGCGGGGCAGGGAGGAGACTGAATTTATACAAGAATTAAGAGTCGAAAATAGTACAACGAATCGTCTTCTTTCTCTAATAATTTAATGAAACGTCGAAGCTTCCGCGCTTCGCGCGGGACGGGGGAAAACTACATTCAGATAAGAATTAAAAGTCGAAAACAGTACAGCGAATCGTCTACTTTCTCTAATGATTTAATAAAACGTCAAAGCTTCCGCGCTTCGCGCGGGAAAGGGGGGGGGGAACTAAATTCAGATTAGGATTAAGAGTCAAGAACGTTACAACGAATCGTCTTCTTTCTCTAATAATTTAATGAATCGTTAAAAGTTTCCGCGCTTCGGGCGGGATTGGCGAAAATGCATACAGACAAGGATTAAGAGTCGAGAACGTTACAACGAATCGTCTTTCTCTAATAATTTAATGAATCGTTAAAAGCTTCCGCGCTTCGGGCGGGAGGGGGGGGGGGGGGGTAACTGAATTCAGACAAGGACACGAAACAACGAATCGTCTTCTTTCTCTAATTACTAAATGAAGTGCCAAAGCTTTCGCGCTTCGCGCAAGAGGAGGTAAACTAAATTCAGACAAGGATCAAGTGTCGAGAATGGTACAACGAATCGTCTTCTTTCTCTAATGATTTAATGAAACGTCAAAGCGGGAGGGGGTAACTGAATTCAGACAAGGACACGATACAACGAATCGTCTTCTTTCTCTATTAATTTAATGAAAAGTGAAAGCTTCCGCGGTTCGCGCGGTATGGGCGAAAATGAATTCAGACAAGGATTCAGAGTCTAAATTACATGTAACGTCACAGCTTCCGCGCTTCGCGCGAGAGGGGAAAAACTAAATTCAGACATGAACACAATACAAAGATTCGTCTTCTTTCCCTAATAATTTAATGCAACTTGAAAGCTTCCGCGCTTCACGCGGGATGTGCGATAATGAATTCAGACAAGGATTAAGAGTAATAATTAATGAAACGTCAAAGCTTCCGCGCTTCACGCGGGAGGGGGAAACTGAATTCACACAAGGATACGATACAACGAATCGTCTTCTTTCTCTAATTACTAAATCATGTGTCACAGCGGGAGGGAGAAACTGAAAAATAAATTAGTTCCTGGCCCCGGGTTTATAGGGTTTAATTTGTAGACATTGGGACATTGGCATTACAATATTTGTCGGTAATTGGTGGCCAGTTTTTTCGGTAATCGGTGGTCTCTACACTACCCCCTCCCCCACTGAACAGGGTCTAGCGACGCCCCTTATAACAAAACAGTTTATACACACGAGATAATTTTTGCGAGTACTACTGGTGAAGTACCAGATCACCGTCTTTGTGCATTGTGCAGCAACGAAGCAACGTCTCACGACGTGACAGCTCACTGTTCTCTAACTTCTAACCAATCAGAAGGCCTTGTTTTTTTTCTCCAGGAAGGGCCGGTGTACATTAAAGCACCAAATGTGGTTCTTAAATTGCAAAAGATCTCTACTCTTGGAGGGGGTAGGAGAAAGCAGTTTACGTCATAATTACCCCAGGAAGTGCCTGAAAATGCGTCTAATGTGGTTCTAAAGTTGCAAAACGCTTCCTACTCTGGGAGGGGGTCAGAACCCCCTTCCAGGCCCACCACCGCTTGGTCGCTCCGCTCCCTCGCCGCTAAAGCCTCGTTCTGTCGCTTCATCGTTTTACATGATTATATTTCACCCCATGCCATTTTGTGCCCCCCCCCTGTTAGAAATTCCTGGATCCGCCACTGAAGCCCATACCCCTTGAGTTTCGGCGACTCCGCGCCTTGACCCCCGCCGGAGCTTTGCCCCTAGACCCCATTTTGAAAAACGTTCAGCGGGGCCTGCCTGCAAAAGTGGTGTGATGCGGATTTTTTTTTTGTCAGCCCCCCCAAACGTTTTTGCTCATTACGCCACTGGTTTGAGTGATACATGAATGCCACACTATGAACATGACTGACAAAGAAAGCGGGCAAAATATACAGTTCCTCAGGTAGATAAAGGAACATCCCTTCACTGCTATTATGTAAAAAGGTGAATATGCATGTGACACCTGTTCTACACATTTTTACATAATAACAGTGAAGGAATGTTCCTTTGTCTACCTGAGGAACTGTATATTTTGTCCGCTTTCTTTGTCAGTCATATTCACAGTGCCAGCTGCTACGTTTTTTCTCCCTCACGTCTTCCCTCACTTCACCTGAAGCTTTGTTTTAGGTGTGCTTTTTTCCCTTTTCTACCACTTTTTTCTGATTACTCTTCTTTCTTCTACACTGTATCTCTATTTTATTATTTGTATACACGTACCAGACTTCATGCATGCCCTCATACATAATTTAGTATGTTATACTTTGCTCTGAACTAGTTTATTGCGTGTCTTGTCATGATCTCACCTTTCATGACAATTAGGTCTGTACGTCTTAATGTATCCAACCCACCAAGATCAATGCATACGATAACTGGCTGAGAAATGGATGTTGCCATGCAACAGCAAGTTCTCCACTTTGCATGATTTCGTGATGTATTCGGGATTGATGCCTGGGTGCGAGTGATTCAGTTCACCTGTTGGGATTGGTTGTGGCGGAATACAAAATGGCGGCCATCGTTTATATTGTTTTGAGTATAAGGCAACTTTAAACCATGATACATCAAAGCATACCAGTGAATATCCTGGCCTATAAAACATTTTCTTAATCTTAGTAGTTATAACCTTACTGTAAATAGTTAGGAGACTGTCGGCCATTTTGGACGCCATCTTGGATTTCTAGGGTTCCTGGTAGGTAGCCATAACCCATTGTAAGTAGTATGAATGGATTGTTCGACGCCGAATTCACATCTCTAAGATGGCTATATCATGAGTTATGGCTATTTTAAGGTATTAATTGGCGGCATTGTGAAAATAATCACTTTTTGGGGGTCCGTTTTTCTTAGATTTCAGTATGTTGTTCCTGATTTCCGGACACTGTTGAGAAACCTACTGATGATTTTGTTTGTCGGTCAAACTCTATTTTGACCCGACTCAGTATATTATATCACATTTGTGTTAAAGTCTTTAATGTGGCTTATCGTTGTAGTTAAGAGAGGTAGGGCTCATGATTGTCTGGGAGAAAAAACATGATTACCTGTTATGTCGTAATTCGAATGCATACACGATGTTAATTTGAATAAAGACACGACAGGTATAGTTGATTGACCCTCTTTCTGCTTCTCCATGTTTGGCCCAACTGTCCCCATCAGTTATTCGTTAACCCCCGCCCCCCCCCCCCCCCCCCCCGCGTGCGTGTTGCCAAAATGTTCGGTAAAGGGGTACTTTTCGTGCGACAAAGTCCGGCCCGAGAATTGTAAAAAAAGGGGTGTATTTGACTTTTAACCCGGAGATTTCTTTAAAAAGGGGGTGTTTTTTATATTTAAGAAGCTGTTTATATAAAATGTTTATATTTGAGAAGCGGTGCATTTATCTATTTAAAGGAAATAACTGGATAGTGTTTAAATGCCATTCACTCTGTCCACAATAAATTGATGCGAAACAGTAATTTTTTAATTTTGTTTTTCTTCAGTACTGTTGATGAATAATGTAGTTTGATTGCATGCATGAATGCCAGCTGCTACGTTTTTCTCCTTCACGTCTTCCCTCACTTCACCTGAAGCTTTGTTTTTAGGTGTGCTTTTTTTCCCTTTTCTACTACTTTTCCTGATTACTCTTCTTTCTTCTACACTGTATCTCTATTGTATTATTTGTATACATGTACCAGACTTCGTGCATGCATGCCCTCATGCATAATTTAGTATGTTATGCTCTGAACTAGTTTATTGCGTGTCTTGTCATGATCTCACCTTTAATGACAGTTAGGCCTGTACGTCTTAATATATCCAACCCACCAAGATCAATGCATACGATAACTGCCTGAGAAATGAATGTTGCCATGCAACAGCAAGTTCTCACTTTGCATGATTTCGTGATGTATTCGGGATTATATACCTCACTTAAGAAATCCAGCCATCTGATTGGTCGAAATTGCATTCATAAACTTTAACTGTTCCTGTAAAATTCCCGGTAACCATGGTTAAAACAGTTCTAAATCCCAATAACCATGGTTACCGGGAAAATAGGTCAGTCTCCATGGTTACCCCATAGGTTTACATGTTAAAAAATGGTCTGAGCGATCGAGGATACCGTACGTGTGCGAAGAATTGGTCGGTTATTTCAATACAATTGAATCTCGATCGATTTTACCGACAATTTTATCTTGCATTGTTGACATGAAGACGAAAATAAACTTCCCAAAACAAAAAAACAACATCTGCCGATAGATCTTGATCTAAGTTCGTGCCAATGTGCATTGCAAAAGTAAAAGAAGGGCCCGTTTAATGGAGCAGCGGCGAAGCATCCACCACGCGAAGCCGTTTTCAATCCATTTTAATGTATATATTAGAGAAAACTGCTAGATATAGCGACAGAGCGCGATGGCCGAGCGGTTTAAGGCGCTGTTTTTAGTTGCATCACCTTTTGTACGCAAGAGATCGAATCCCATCTTCGACAAAAGTTTTTTTATTTTTTATTTTTTATTTTTTAGTCTATTTTTTCGGCATATAAAAGTATTAATGACTGCTTTAATATTCGAGAAATAGTTGTTTTTATACGCTCTCGGGAAGGTTACAATTGGGCTATTGCCCTCGGCACGCCTCGGGTAATAGCACAATTCTAACCTTCCCTTAATTGAGCGTATAAAAACAACTATTTCTCTCAAAGCAGTCATTAATACTATATTGATGCCTGGGTCTTTGTGGGGTGCCTGGGTGCGAGTGATACAGTGGGATTGGTTGTGTCGGACTCGGAATACAAAATGGCGGCCATCTTTTATATTGTTTTGAGTATAAGGCAACTCTAAACCATGATACATCAAAGCATACCAGTGAATATCCTGACCTCTAAAACATTTTCTTAATCTTAGTAGTTATAACCTTACTGTAAATAGTTAGGAGACTGTCGGCCATTTTGGACGCCATCTTGGATTTCTAGGGTTCCTGGTAGGTATAGACGCCGAATTCACATCTCTAAGATGGCTATATCATGAGTTATGGCTATTTTAAGGTATTAATTGGCGGCATTGTGAAAATAATCACTTTTTGGGGGTCCGTTTTTCTTAGATTTTAGTATGTTGTTCCTGATTTCGGGACACTGTTGAGAAACCTACTGATGATTTTGTTTGTGGGTCAAACTCTATTTTGACCCGACTCAGTATATTATATCACATTTGTGTTAAAGTCTTTAATGTGGCTTATCGTTGTAGTTAAGAGAGGTAGGGCTCATGATTGTCTGGGAGAAAAAACATGATTACCTGTTATGTCGTAATTCGAATGCATACACGATGTTAATTTGAATAAAGACACGACAGGTATAGTTGATTGACCCTCTTTCTGCTTCCCCATGTTTGGCCCAACTGTCCCCATCAGTTATTCGTTACCCTCCGCCCTCCCCCTCCCCCCGCCACTCAGAGGTCGGAATGACCGCGTGCGTGTTGCCAAAATGTTCGGTAAAGGGGTACTTTTCGTGCGACAAAGTCTTTGTCCGGTCCGAGAATTGTAAAAAAAAAGGGTGTATTTGACTTTTCACCCGGAGATTTCTTTAAAAAGGGGGTCTTTTTTCTTTTTTCTCTCATCTCTTTGGACTCCTGAGAAATTATTCCGAATTTAAGGGGGTACATAGAGCATATTTCCTGATATATGGGGGTCTCCAAGGCAGGAAAAGGCCGCGAAAAGCCCGTGAAAGGGGGGTTCGAAAATGTTGGCAGTCCTCAGATAGGGGGTGCTTTCAAAAAAAAGAGAACAAGCATATGCGTACCCTAAACAACACTGAGTGGGGGGGGGGGGGGTGGGGGCGGGCGTTACCCCTCCTGGACCAGTGACATAGGACGTGGTTGAGAAGGGGGGTTGTGGCACGGGGGAACTTCCCGAATGAATGAAAACATTTGGAAATTGGAGGGAAGAAGAATGAGAGGGAGAAAGAGAAAAAAGAGAGAGAGAGAGAGAGAGAGAGAGCATAAGATGCGGTAATCTAAAATCTAAATGGTCTGAGATCATATTCCGGTCGAAATCCATTGAACAGAAGAAATGATAATTATATTTTGTATTTGATCCCTTGCGAAGCAAAGGATTTTGTTTTTCGTATGTATAAAAGTCAACTTTACATTTCGTGTATTTAATGACTTATTGTAATTCTGTATATTTGTATGTGTTTTAGCTCACGCGCGGGTGTCTACAAACATGGCCTGTGAAGTGTTGCATAACCATTGCCAGCCGATTCTTGTCAATGGTGAATTGATGCCTACAGTGCCAGAGTACACGCCCTCGCTTCTCGTCTCATTGAAGGGTATTAAACAACATATCGTTTGCAAGTCATCTGGTGAGTTTTTAGGTTTATAGTGATGATAAAATTATGATAATTATGTCAGTCCAAATTTTAGAGTGATTGAAAATATCACAACTCATTGGAATGAAGGGTAGGCATTGGAAAATTATGATTATAGTAATTATACAATTAAGAACCTATTAACGACTACAATATATGCATACGTTAGGAAATTGAGACCTTTCTGAGGTCAGAGAGGAGTCAACGTCGAAACATCTTTAGACGTAGAAATATACAATAGTAAATGACAAAATGAAGAAGGCGGAACGAAGGTTAGGCGTTAAGAATCATGATTTTGTTTTCACTTCTCCTCCCCCCACCCCTTGTTTTTCTATCTCACTTTCACCAGGAAGCTGTAATGAATGGAGATCCCGTCCAAGAGGCCCCTTTGAAGTCATCCGTGGCACCGCGCGTCTTTTGTTTCCCCTACCCTAATCCCCTTAATCCCCCTCCAAAACCTTACAGCTCCCTAGTAGCACTAAGTCCTCCCTTTCCACACACAGCCCAGCCCAGCGAGCACGGCGGCTTTTGCTTTGCCGGCCCGTACTTTGGGCGAATAGTGGTGCTAACTTGACAACTTCTAGCCCTAAATCAATAAATGCGCAAACATATAACACAATTTCATTTAGTTCTTTAGGAAGATAAACCTTTGGACTACCTTCCTAGCTATGTACAAATTTTGGAAATTTTCGGGAAATGTCAATAATTAGATGAGAAAATCATGATTATGAAAATCTTTCATTCGCTCTAACTCATGATTTCCTTGGTCGATTTCGCTGATTAAAATGGCCATGTCTTCAGTAGAGCTATCCGAGAACGGAAAACGCATTTGATGACTAATAGAAAGTTGCATTGGTCATAATGTTGTGAATTCTGCATTTTATATGATATAGCTAAATACATCTTACATGAACATGACTTAATTTGTCGGTGCCACGCATGGCTTCAAAGCCCGATGCTTGCATATTTTTGCAAACGAGTGAATAGAGAACTTAGGGAAGCAGATGGCGTTGCGTAACATTTCGTACTATTTGGAATGCCAGAGAGGGACTGTGCATTGATATGGACAGCTGTTGATGGAAATGATGGCTGGAGAGGGTTACATTTCTTTTTGTTAAGCCAGGTTAATCTTGAATAAATTTCCCTCGGAAAATTCTTTCGAGACGGTATCTCCATTCATTACAGCTTCCTGCTTTCACTTTCAAGTATATAGAATATGCTACAACGTGATGCAACATCTGGTTTTCTGCAGCTGCCAAGGGTTCAAAATCCAATTATTGAATATAATGGAATTGTCCAGTAAATTTGTATGGGATTGCGACCGTTCTCCTTTTTGCCGTTTCTAGTTTAATTTCCCTGCGGACTTTGTTGAACAATTACAAAAAAGTAGAATATTTCCCATTTGAAGTATGAGATGATAATCGCTCGGAGCTTGGTTTGTTTTCTTCCAGTGTCAACATTGATTATAAACACAAATCACAAACATTAAACAAATCACTTTCTTATATCGATAAGGCAGATTTCCTTATTTGTTTGCTTGTCTGTTTGTTTATGTAGTACGGTTTGTCAGCACGTAATGATTTCTTTCAAAAAAGGCATTGATCGTTAATATTTTTACATTTCTTTTCTTCAGCCCTGACAACTCCAATCACATCAAGCCCTACAACTTTTGGTAAGCAATTTTAAATGCACTCACCCCTTCGACTCTCTTTCCCTCTCTCATGCACTATCCGCTAGCTCGGCGCACGCAGGATTTTTTCAAGGGGGGGGGGGGGGAATTAACATTTTGAAATGGATTTTGAAATGAATAATTTGAAAATTTGACCGATCGACATTCCGTTCCGTTGGGGGGGGGGGGGCGGGTAAGGTCTTCTTTTTTAGGTCATCCATTAGGATTTTTTTTTTTTTTTTTTTTTACTTAAAAAAAAAAAAAAAAAAAATCAACACTCAAGAAGGGAGGGTTTTCCGAAAAACATACACTTAAAACAAACTCAGGGGGGGGGGGGGAGGGGGGGGGGGAGGGGGGGAGGGGGGGAGGGGGGGGGTTAACCCCCCTTCACACCCATACACATGGCATTTTGTTCATATGCTAATTAATAGGTATTCATGAATATGGTAATTAGCAACTGACTTAATGAAGAACATCATATCTAGATTTTTTTTTTTAGGTGTATATTTCAATTCAATTCAATTTTTTTTTTTCAATTCAATTTCGGTTTATTAATATCAACATATACAATGTACAATGCAGTAGTCCAGGGACCAATAATGCAATGTTTACATAAAATGTGCATAAAAACAGGAATGATCATATAAATGTACAATAAAAATGATAAAAGATAAAGTTAAAATTATTGCTCATACCTAAAGTTATATACATATATAAATAAATGATAATAGATGGATGATAATAAATGTTGAACCAGTTATTGCAAGTACAAATAATCTTTAAATTTAACAGTTATTTAAAAAAATAATATATATATATATACATAAAATATAGAGGGAGAGAGAGAGAGAGAGAGAGGAAATTATTATATTGCAATTGTTAACATGAGATCCATAGACTGAAAAATTATACATGCAGGTGTGTTTGTTGTGTGACAGGTAAGGTCAAATTATGTTGAATATAATTATTACATTAAGAATATATCATTAAAGCATTTCATATAAAGTGATGTATAGTGCCCATGAGCATACACAAATTCTCATAATTGTTGAGTTTCCACATTAAATTTTAAATTGGAGTTGAGTTACAATCATGTTATTGCAGCAGAATTATACACGGTGGTTTAAGAACAACTTCATAAAAAAAATGAAGAGCACGCAATAAAATGTGCACGGAATTTTGAATTTTGGATCGATCTTGAGTTGAATTAAACAAAGTAACAAAACAATAACTCCAATATTATTAAAAAAGAGAAGAAAAACAAATATGATATATTACTATAGATGATCTACAACTGAGCATTGACCAGTTTGACGAGTGTGGGGATACTTGATTTTCTATATCGTTCAGTTCTTGCATAAGGAATGTGTAGGTGGTTAGAATTCCTAAGTCCACCTCGCGAGAGATGCTGTCGTTCTGCCGGAAGCAAATCACGGTGTCGCGAGGAGACAAGGATTGATTTCGCAAAGTTGGTAAGTAAGTCACTTCTTCGCCTGGCAAGGGAGGGAATGCCGAAGCTGCTCAAGAGTTCCTCATAGTGCTGTTGATCAGGGTAAGATATCATCCTGAGTGATCTACGTTGTATCCGCTCTATGCTATCTGACTGCTGTGTTGTCAGGCTACTGCTCCACACTGGTGCACAATATTCCATCAATGGTCGGATATACATTGTGTATATGAGCACAAGATCACTGGTTGGAACTCCATTCCTCTTCAATTTGCACAGGATATATAAACGTCTGGATGCACGTTTGATGACCTGTTCCACTTGTAGATCCCACTTTAGGTTTGTCTGAATGATAACACCAAGCAGGCGAAGCGACGTTACAGACTCCAAAACTTGATTTCCAATAGTAATAATAATGATAATAATAATAATCTAATAGTCCACTCCAAATTTTATTAAACCGAAACGGAAATTCTTTTTGCCCAATTGATCGTGAGCCCGGCAGCCACTGAGCAGCGCCAGATCGACGTTGGTCTATCCCTTATTGTTGAACGCCAAACAAGGTAGCAACAACTCCCATCTTTTAACGTCTTTTGGTATGACGCGGCCGGGGTTCGAACCCACGACCTCCCGGTTGTGAGGCGGACGCTCTACTGACTGAGCCAACACTCCGGTGAAGGTGAACCATTACGCAGGAAACTTACATGCATCACCTTACATTTTTCAGGTTTTGGTTTCATTGAATTCAACTCACTCCATGCAGATAGAGCATCCACATGAGACTGTAGATGACTTGGCTCTGCTTTATGGATAACTTCAGCAATAGTTACGTCATCAACATACTTCCATCTCTTCGAGGTAGTCTCGGCGGCATCGTTGATCATAATTAGGAAGATTACCGGACCGAGTTTGGTTCCCTGTGGAACCCCACATGATAGCTCTTGCTCAGATAATGATGTACCGCAATATCGAGTTGTCTGCGTACGTTGCGTGAGAAAACTAGCTATCACTGTGATGATGGCCGGGTTGACATCCAGTTGAATCAGCTTCTGTAGAGCCTTCGTATGGTCGATGAGGTCAAAGGCCTTCATGAAGTCGATTGTACAAATCGTTGCATGATGACTTGGCTTATCCAGGCCCCGCTGTAGATCATCAAGCAGGCTGACTAGGTAATGCGACACAGAGCTGCCTTTCATATTACCAAATTGCTTTGGATCGATTTGGTGTTTGATATCAGCCATCACCCATTCTGCCAGGAAGCCTTCAAAAACACGTGCTATGATCGGTGTGATTGAAATTGGTCTAAGCTGATTGTATTCGGTGACTGGTGATGTCTTCGGAACAGGACACACTGATGCAGTTTTCCAAGAGCTTGGAAAGTGTCCATTGTTAAGACATTTATTGAAGATGATGGTCAAGGGTAATGACAGTTCATACGCAAACTCCTTTAAGAGTCGGATGGGGACATCAGTTGGGTGTCCAGCCTTTGATGCATTCAACCTTCTGAGCCGTTTGTAGACTTCCTCCCTATCTATGGTTGGGGGACGAGGCCCAGGAAGGTAAGCCGATAGGGCAGCCAAGTTGAGAGAAGGAAGTTCATTACAGATCCTAGCAAAGTGACAGTTCAATTCATGAGCGATCTCTGCTGGAAGTTTACCTGTTTCCTTCAGCAGAGGTGGTGCTTTGCGCATTCCAGTTAGATTCCTTATCTGCTGGTGCCATTTACCAGGTTCGCTCTGTTTCAACTGTTGAATCTTCCGGGCATAGAAATCCTTCTTGGAGCGGAAAATCTCTCGTTGCACAAGATTACGAGCTTGATTGTAGGCACGAACATCCCCTCGGCGAAAGTGTGCATCACGAGTTCTAATCAGTCGTCTGATATAGTTGTTCATCCATTCTTTATCCTTTGGCCTACGGACGATGGAGATTTGTTCAAAGTGTGATCTATACTGAGCGGTAAGAATTTGTTGGAACCGGGCAGCTTTCATGTCGGTACCAGTCAATTCGTCTAGCTCAGACCAGTCCGCCTGCGTTATCCACTGCCCAAAAGATCGCAAAGAGGAGTCTCGAAAAGGTCGACTGAAGTACTGTGATCTCTGTCGAGGGATCTGACCACTCTTTGGTTTTAGAGAAATAACCATGTGGTCGCTTTTCCCTATTGGTGCAGTAATCACAGAGTCGTGATAGTCACCTCCCATGTCGGTAAAGATCTTATCCAGGACTGCAGTTCCTCTGGTTGGTTGAGTGACAATCTGGCGAAGTAACGTGTGTAGTTCAATAGGTTGAAACTTCAGGTCATTGAAGTCTCCTATTATTAGGAACGAGGCACTGCCATATGTCATGCGAATCGTATCAACCATGTTGATGATGTGGGCACAGAGTTCCTCTTGGTAAGGAGCTCTTGGCGGGTAGTAGACAACGCAAGCAAAAATATCATTGTCCAGTTGTAGGTTCACAGATGATCTCAACCTGACCCACAAAACTTCAAGGTGTCGAGGGATAATGTCATCAAAGACTCGAGTAGCATTCATGTCCTCTCGTACATAAAGTGCCACGCCTCCACCAGTGCGGCTTTCTCGATCATGATGGAACTGTTCATATCCTTGAAGAGTACATGCAGAAGCAGGTTTTTCTTCTGAAAACCATGTCTCCGTCACTGCAATCAGATGAACATCCTTACACAGTGTATCAACCGTTGCTAGAAGGTCATCGACTTTGTTAGAAAGTGACCTTGCATTAAGCAACATGATGGAAGGGAGATTTTGCTGTGGTTGCTGATTACGTGACTCAGTTAAATATCTGTTTGTTAATGAATGGCTGCTAATAGTTACAAGATCTCTCTTATCTTGTTTCCTCTCATGATCCCTCTGGAGTAATTTCAGATGTATCCTTGGTCGTGTAAGGACTGGAATAGGATGCTGGTCCTTGTGAAAGGATCGACGTCCACGTCTACTCTGCTGTACACTACATATACCATATTGCTGCAGTGTGTGGTATACATCTAATGTTACTGGATTATGCTTACAAGAAGCTCCAATTGACAAAAGCTCCTCTCTAGAGTAGGATAGATCAGGCATCGTTGTGATGGAGAACCAGAGCAAAATAACAATCGTAAACCTCACTATACTGGTCATCATGTGTCCATTCATGTCCATGTGTGCTCGATCAACTGGATGAAACACAATAGCTCACTGTGAAGTCAATGTGCTGTACCACTGCCATGTATACAGTACTAGGCAAAAATTGATTCAGTTATCCAAAATTATGTTCAGTCATATCAACTGAATCGGAAGATATAAGAACTTCAAACTGATCTTGTAGGTCCTCTACTACTAAGTAAACAGACTGGTATAGAAGAAATGGCGACAGGATCAAAAATAATGAAGAAATCAATGAAAACATGGAGAGCTCTCATACAGTGCAACCTGAGGCGCCACTAACAAGCTTTTCTTTTGAGATCTTTTTTGCTGTATTTTTTTTTCCTGTATTTTTTCCAGCATTTCATAATAACAGACATAGACAAACACACGAACAAACACACATACAGACACCCACA